GCCATCACCATATTGTCCTCTATAATTGTGAGTCTGTTTTTTATTAGTTCCTTTTATTCCTTAGATTCCGCATATAAGTGAAATCATATGGTATTTATCTTTCTCTGACTTACTTCACTCAGCATAATAACCTCTAGATCTATCCATGTCATTGTGAATGGTAGGATTACATAAAGTATCTAAACAGTCAAACTTAAGGATGCAGAAAATATGGTGGTTGACAGAGGATGAAGGAAGAGGGGAAATAGGAAGTTGTTAAATGGATATAAAGTTACAGTCGCACAATATAAATAAGTTCTAGAGATGATGCCTATAGTAACAATATGGTATTGTACTTAAAAACTTGGTAAGAGAGTAGATCTCATGTTGAATGTTCTTAGCGCACACAGAAAAAAAACTAAAGGAACATAAGGAATCTTTCGGTGGCGATTTATGTTTATTACTTTGATTGTGGTGATGATACCACAGGTTTAAGTATATGTCCAAACTCATCAAATTGAATACATTAAATATACATTAAATATGTGCAGTTTTTGTATTTTATACCTCAATATACCTGTTAAAAAAAAAGCAAGCAAATACTCTGAAGGTTTACTCTATGTGTTTTTTGAGGGGGAAGAGTAATGGACTATGAAACTTAAATGATGGATTAAGGTCAGATTGAGAAGTATCGTATATGCTCTATAAAAGAATTTGTAGTTAATTCTATAGTCCAGTGTTTATTTACTATTTTAAACCTACAACTCCCATAAACATAGGTTTCTAGCTGCATTAAAAGTTATTTGAAGTATCAAAACAGTAGCTATCATCACTAAAGAAAAACCAAAGCAGTGATAATTTTTGCATAAACATACAGAGTATTTATACAAAATACTGAAATATTCTTTACTTCATCTTTTAGATCCTCATCACTGACTAGCTGAGAATTTTTGATAATGGCAGTAGGGACCCAGTAAATGTTTAAAAACAGTTGCAAGGAAGAAATGCAGTTAGTTTGTGTTTTTGGAAGTTAACCAGTAACAGTGTAGAGGATGGTTAGGAAAATACGGTGTTTGGAGTTAGGGGAGTTAGTTTATGGAAAGAGAGAGCATGTCCGACTCTGTAACAGAACTAGGAGAAAGATAGCTTTCTCTAGAACTATTAATAATCCCTTTGTTCCTCCTACCCAAAACATTTTTCTTGAGATCTAGAGAAGAAAATAGATTCTTGGTCTACTTAAAGTCTCCTGTGAACTCCTGTTTACTCACTGTATCTCTCAGAACCATTTGTAGTTCAGGACTTGCTCCAACTTTTCCATTGTATTTAACAGTAGAGCTTCTAGATCCTAGGAATATTGCCCCTGAGGGGGACGTGCAAGAGAATATTGGAGCAGTCCTGCCAACTTTGAGGAGGCTCCTTTTTGCCATAGTTTAATTCTTGTTACCGCTGAAAGTTATACTAATACTGATGATATATGGTGGGAGTGCAGACCCTCAGAGCCTTTTATGATGAAAGTCTTTTCAGTGCTGTTTTCAGAAACTGCTAGAAAACCATAGGATATTACTTTAGCTAGGTTTATCCCATGGTTACTTGATTAAATTTTGTTAGAAAGGCAGCCCTCTTCTCTTTCCTCATCTCAAGCCACACAGTTTGTCTGATAGTAGTAACTAGAAAAGATTAGACAGTGTACATTGGGTAAATGATGACATTATTCCAATGTCCAGACATAGTCCAGTGTCTAGTGTAGTTCAAATGGGTCGGTGCTAGCAGTATAAGAATTCCCCCTCTTAGTTTCTCACTTCCTCAATGTCCAGCATATATTTCCTTTTTTAAATTAAGAAAAGAATATTTATTCCCTCAGATTACTTTACATGTTTAAATCCTAATATGTTCATAAGATATTATATGGCTGTGTTGGGTGTTTCTCTGACCTTCCCCCATGTTTGGTGATTTGTTTGAAGGACTCACAGGATTTGTTACAGTGACAAAGTAAGGACGTACGGCTGGTTATATGGGGAGAAGGCATAAGTGGAGTGTGGAGGAATCCATGTGCAGGCTTCATTATACTCTCTTTCCCATGAGGGGGTCACACAGAGTACATACTCTTCTCTCAACAATGGAAATGCAGCAACATGTGTGTGAAGTTCATTAGAGACTTGGTGCTTTTGTTTTTTGGGGAGGGTTATGTAGATACTCTAGCATGTACCAAAATTCTACATTCCCTGAAGGAAAGCGGGTATTCAGCATAGACAACATTGTTTGCACAAATAATCTAGGCGTAGCGAGTCACCATTATCAGTTAGGAATAGTGGGAATCCTTCCGAAATCCAAGTTCCTAGTCACTAGCCAAGGGCCAGCCCTGCAAACTGGCCTTTCTGAAGATAGCAGCCTTAGGTCTTCTATGTTCACCTTTTCTGCACAATGGATAATAATATGGAGCTCAATTTGGTCTTATTAAGTGTAACAGTTCCCAGAACTTGCAGTTGGAGTGAGCTAGTAGGCAGCTGGCAACATGACTCTGGCAGCAGATATTTGATATCAGAAAATTTTGTAGTCTTTAGTTGTAGGGTTAGATAAGAAAGCTTGGGAGGGCATGTAAATTCAGAAAGAAATTCATAAAACAAACGAAGGCATTAACTTTGAGTTAAGAGAACACTGCTGAGATGACAGGGAAGTATATACAGGTATTTTATATATATGTATATGTGTGTAAATGTATGTATGTAAAGTTATAATAAGTTTTGAAAGTAGATAGTTGGGAGGGAACTTGGGGTATTGACATCCTTTTATTAAACATAGGTGATAGTGTCTTTGGCTGAGGGTGAGGATTAGGTTGTGAGCTTTGAGTAGGGAAGAGGAGGGGAAAAGTGTTTTAAAGCATTTAACTTAAACAATAGGAAAAGGGAGAAGACAGAGCCCAGTCAAGTCAAAGAACTGCTGTACAGAATGAAGGATCTGAGCTTGTTTCTGACTCCTGGTGCCCCCATCATTTTTCCCTGCAGCTTTATTTGTATTATTTTTTTCTTTTTTTTTAATTTAAAAATTCCAATTACAGTTGACATTCAATATTTTATTAATTTCACATAGTGGTTAGACATTTATATAATTTACTAAGTGATCCTCCCTCAATAAATCTAGTATCCACCTGGCAATAAACATAGTTATGACAATATTATTGACTGTATTCCCTATGCTATACTTTATCTCCCCATGACTATTTTGTACCTGCAGTTTGATTTTTAATAGCACACTCATCAGAAGCCTTATGTTCATAGAAAAATACCTCTTTCCTCTTTGTTTCCCATACCTAACTTTAAAAGTTGGAGGGTTCATCCAAACTTCATTTCTACTTTTTTTGTGGCTCATATCTGCTAAGCAAATAAGCGTCTGAAGTCTTAAAAGGTTCCATTTCCCCTTTCCATTGGGTTCTACTTAGGTGCTTTTTAGTAAATCTTTGTAGCCTGGGCACAGAGGCACAAGACTTTGTAAGTGTCCAAGGGTTATTTACAAATAGTTTGACTCTTTTGTTCTAGTTTTAGATTTGTCTTTTCTGGAGCAGGTGAATAAGAACTAGAAAATGATAAATTTGCTTTTTATGTTTCATTGTTCTTCATGAAGTCATTTATAATATAATTTGAATGAAAGTATAATTTTAATAAGAATTATGAAGTCAAGAAGAAAACTTTGCTAACCTGCCCTGTTTTCTTCTACTTCTCCCCCTTCCCTTTTCTTTTTTTAATTGCAGCAAAAGTCTGGAGAAAAGCCTGTCCCAGGTATGGTTCATCTGATATTCTTATTGATCTTGAAAGAAGGCCAAGACAGCCTGTTTAAATTAATAACAATTGTAGTATGTGAGATGAGCTATAGTCAAATGGTCATTTTGTCCTTCCAGAATTCTCTCATTGTAGTGTTACTCCCAACCTTTGAGATCTGCTGAATTGCCAAAAGACGATGCTTTTGTGGTTGTGGTATTAGTATTTAAAAGATGAATTTGAGTGAGAAGAGTAGGTATTGAGGAAGTATGGGAAAGCCAAGATGATTTGAGGTTGTTTTTAGTTCAATGAAAAAGGCCTGTTTCATCATGGGATGGAATAATTATACATCTTATTTATGTATAATGTCTTATTTAAATGTCATGTGTTTTTGTCTAATATCAAAAATTTGCTTGGGTTATGAGGTTTTTACGTTTATAAATGGGTTCTTATACATCTGCCTGGTGAAACAGCTACATTTAGAACTTGAGATAAGGAGTTCTAAATGAATTCAAAAGCATCTGAACCATTCATATTCACTGTTGTGTAAATTGATCTCATCCCTCCATCTTCCTTCCCCTTCAAAAAAAAAATAATACCTACTTTTGATGTGTAGTGGATCAGACAAAGAAAGAGGCAGAACCTATACCAGAAACTGTAAAATCTGAGGAGAAGGAGACCACAAAGAACATCCAACAGACAGTGAGCACTAAAGGCCCTCCCGAGAAACGAATGAGACTTCAGTGAGTATTGGACACGAGAGAAGCTTGCAAGACCTCTTGTCCATTATTATACCTCATTACTGTGACAGGCTCTTGAACTGTAAAATTCTTTGTCACAGCCCTCTCATTTGTATAGAATGTGCTTGTTCTTTAAGAAAGGATATAAGGACGCTCATTCTTTCGATGTGAATATTTTTATGTATCTTTTGTAACTTTTCCTTATTGGACTTGTGCAGCTGCCTTACATGTGTACTGCTATATATGTTTAAAACCAAATAAAGGTATTTGTATAAATTACTTTATTGTGAGTTTACCCCCTTTATTTCTCTCTGAAATATTTCCATATGCACTTTGTAAAAATGAAAGATTAATGTTAAAGTAGTAATTAACTAAACTTTTCTTTTATTAGTTGCATATTCCTCAGTATTAAAATGATGAAGTTACTGACAACTTGAAGGATAAAGAAATGGGAAAAAAAACCTCACCTATACCTTCACCCTACAAATATTATAATGCGTTAAGAATTTTCTTTGTCTTCTTTTTCTGTGAATAGACATTTTAGAAACCAAATTTTGTAATTATTCTGTTCATTTAATTTTACTTTGTCATATTATTATGTCTGTTGTAAGCATTTCTCCATGTTCACTTAGTTTTTACAGATTGTTTATATTTGTGACCGAGTAATTCCTGTGGTTGTATGTTTTTTTAAACCTTCCTGTGTTCTACTTAGGTTTTTCCCAGTTTGCATTATTTTAAATAAGGCTGTTGTGATTACATTTGTATACAGTGACTTTTCAGTGTGTAGTATTTATTTACTTAAGATAGTTTCGGTGGTAGAATCACTAGAATCTAGAATCTTTTTTTTTTTTTTTGACTCCTAGTTTCTATTGCCAAGTTGTTTTTCTCAAAAGGTTTGGGCCAATTGTCACTCAAATAGCTAAGTATGAAAATACCAAGTCCTCTAGAGTCTGGCTACCACTGAGTATTGTCATTTATATTTTTAGTGGTAATTAAGTAGGAAAAAATGGTCTTTTATTATTTTAAGTGGTTGAATAATTTCTCATCCTTGACTTTTGCTTTTATGAAATTTCTGATTTTGTTTTGTGTAAGATTTTTCTTTTAGCTTTTTGACATAAGTTCAAGCTTACAGAAAAGTAATAGTATAAAGAATATATATATACTTTTTGCCTAAATTCCTCACATGGTGACATTTTTCCATATTTGTTTATTCTTTACTCTTTTTCTATCCTCTCTCATCTCTAACTCTTGCTGTCAATTGCTGTTTTTCTCCATGTATATGTATACCTATAAAATACACACATATATATACATACACTTCTTATTTTTGGATTGAGAGTTAGACGCAGTCATGAAGCCCAAAATACTTTCCCTGAAGTACTTTAGTGTGCATTTCCTAAAATCAAAGACAGTCTCTTACTTAGCCATCATATACTTATCAAAATTAAACTGGTCTGATACAATTACCTGATCTGTAGATTTTATTCATATCTTGCCAGTGGTGCCAAGAATGTATTTACAGCAAAAGAATATCCTGAATTATGCTTTGGGTTTTGTTATCTCTTTAGTCTGCTTTAATCTGGAAGAGTTCTTTAATCTTCCTTGTTTTTCATGACTCAATATTTAGAGTTTAGGCCAGATATTTTGTTGAATGTCTCAGTTTGGGATTGTTCGATAAATTTTATGATTAAATTCACCCCATGCACTTTTGTCCATGGAAAAGGTGCTTACGAAGCACATGCTATGAATTTGCCCCATTTCTGGTGATGTTAACTTTACTTGGTTAAGGTATTGTCTGTCAGGTTACTCCACTATCAAGTTACTATTTTACCTTTTGTAATTTATAGGTATCTTGTGGGGGAAATAGTTTGCGGCTCTAAATATCTTGTTATTCCTCAAACTTTTACCCACTGGTTAACATCCTTTGGTAATTCTTGCCTGAATATCATGATTGCCAATTGGTGATTTTCTAATTCTAGCATTCTTTCTATACCTATTACTTGGCCTTTTGCTATAAAGAAGAGCTTTCCTTTTTCCCTTGCTTATTTATGTCATTGTGGACTCCTGGATTCTTTTATTCAATGATGCTATTTCTTTACTATTACCTAAACCAAAGGATGAATGAGTACAGTGCTCATGCTGCCTTGCCCCAGTGTAAAAAACCGACACAGGAGTTGGGCTAGATAGAATAAGTGTTTATTATCAGAGAAGTTGCAAGTCCTGGAGACACAGGCAAACTAGGTCTCAAAGGCATCCCCCACCCCCTCCCGCCACCGCCCCAAGTATCTTGGGAGTCCAGGTTAAATAGGGAAGAATCAGTATTCCTGAAACTAAGGGAGTTGGGGTCATGGGTGCTACTGATTGGACAACTAAAGGGGGATGAGGCAATTTGATTAGTGTGTCCGGGTTCTGGAATCAGCTGTGGCACCATCCTACCTGTTCCCATGACCTGGTTCCTTGGCTGGTGGGGGTTGTAGTTTTGCCTTGATAGTCTTGGGCCTGAAACACATCTAAAGCCAAGATATTATCCTTAGTCTGAAATCCAATGGAAACCTATTGGCCTCATGATTCTAGACCTGAGGCTTGGTTAATCTTAATGTCCTAAGGCTTAATGATTAAAGGAGCAGGCATACAGAGGGTAAGGGTGGAGAGGCAAGTGAGTCACAATGCCATTATCTGGGCAAAACAAGCTTGAATCAGGAAAAAAAAAAAAAACTATTAAGTTTGTGGTTACAAGCTATAGGGTAAAAAGAGGTGAGGCCATAATATGGAGGTCCTTATATCAGGTCCTTCATTACTGTTTATATTAATGCTCAAATTGTCCCAGATTGGGCCAATGGAAGTCCCTTCAAGCTGATTCCCGTGTCATTCATTGAGCATTTACTATACGTTTTGGCACAGTAAGCTATTCCAGGTTCTTCCCAACCCTGGAATCAGCCATTTCTCTAAGGTCTCTAGTTCCTTTTGGCGGAGAATGCATTTGGAGATCAAGGTCTTTGTGCCACATATGCTCATTTGCTACTGAGATGTCGTTACTTGTAGGCCCTCTCAGCTGACAGTTAAGAACTAGATAGATACATACTTATGAGTAAATGCACATATGTCCACACACATCTATATCTGTTTATTAAAAGCCATCAATTCACACTAATACCACCAGTTCCAATCAATCACCACATGGTTCACTCAGTTCCCTTCCATATTTTTAACTTTCTTCCACACTGATGAGAATTCTGGTTCCTGTTTTCCACAGTATTTTTACTTATTTGCTTAATCCTGGAATAACAGAATGTAGTTTTAGAATTGCTAACCTATAACTCTGCCGAAAAGAGAACTCCTGATTAAAGTTCAGTATTTGCTTAGTTCTTTTTGTCTTTAGATTGAGGGTATATAGTTCAAATACTATGTTTAAAATCCCATGGGTTAATTTTTTATTCTCTTCAGTGTGGTTACATTGCTCATTTATTGGTTCAGTTAATTTTGTTTTGTTTTGAATTCCATTTTATTTTTCCCCCTCATTCTTATTCGTTTATTTCTGCCTTGTTGTTGGGGTATGTCATATGTTAACTTGATTCTAAATGTCAGAACTGTCCAAAAGAGATTCCAGGTATCACACTCCTTTCTCCTCTGCCCCACTCACTCATTTCATTTCCACCTCATTCTTACCCACTCCCTCAAAGTAACCGACCTAATTAGTTTCTGGTTTACCTTTACTATATTTCTTTTGCACAAATGAATAGATATTTTCTTATTTCCCCTTCTTACACAAAAGGCAACATTATATAAACTTTTGCACTTTGCTTATTTTCCGTTTATTTAAGCATAAACTTTTGACATAAAAAAATTAACTTCTCATATTTGCTTTAAGTATTTTTCCTACTATTTTTCCAGCTCAGAGCCTTTTCTTTCAACAACATGATTGCAAAATATCACTTACAGAAAAATACACAAAATAGTGAAGTACAACTCATTGTACCTAGGTAACTCACCGTGCAGGTAAAGAAATTGAACATTGCCAGTACCGGAGAAGCTGCTCTATGTTCCCTCCTATTCACAACTCTTGTCCTTCTGATCAGAGGTCATCCTTATCCTCAGTTTTATGGTAATCATTTGTTTTCTTTACATTTTTACCTTGTAACCATACATCCATAAATAAATATCTTAATTGTCTATTTTTTATTTTTAATGTAAATGGATTCAGTGTGTGTGTTTCACATATGGCTTTTTTTGTTCAATATTAACATTTGTGAGGTTCATCAAAGTTGTTTCATGTTATCGCAGTTCTTTTATTTTTATTGCTGTGCGGTATGCCATTACATAAATATATTACAACTTAAAAAAATGCATTCTAATGGTGATGGACATTTGAGTTGTTTATAGTTTTTGTCTATAATGAAAACTTGCTTTTATGAATATTCTTATTTTTGCTTTTTTGTGTATAATATAGGCTGAATTATGCCCCCTCCCCAACAAGATATCTTGAAGTCCTAACTCCCAGTACCTCAGAATGTGACCTAATTTGGAAATAGGGTCATTGCAGATGTAATTAGTTAAGATGAGGTCATGCTAGAGTAAGGCGGGGGGGTGGGGGTCCTAATCTGATGTGACAGGTTTTGTCATAAAGAGAAATCCATGTGAAGAGGCAAATAGAGAATGTCATGTGAAGATGGATGATCAGAGTGATGCATCTACAATCTAGAAATGCCAAAGGTCGCCAGCAAATCACCAGAAGCCAGGAAGACTCAAGGAAGGAGTCCCCGTAGGTTTTGGGAGGAGCATGTCCCTGCTGACACCTTGATTTTGGACTTGTAGCCTTCAGAACTTTGAGACAATAAATGTCTGCTGTTCTAAGCCACCAGTTTGTGGTACTTTGTTATGGCAGGAAACTAATAATAGTGTACTCATACTCGTGTTGCTATTTTACTCAGATAACTGAGTCATAAGTATGCCTTTATTCAGCTTTGGTTGACAATGCTAAAATGTTTTCTGAAGTGATCGTACCAGGTTATAACTCCCACCAGCAGTTCATGAGAGTTCACGTTGTTCCATACTTGATCCTTGATATTGTCAGTTAAAGAAAAACTTAGTGATTTTGATAGGTGTAAGGTGCTATCCTGAAGCTGAAATTTGTATTTCCTGGTGATCGATGATGTCAAGGCATCCTTTTGCACATTAAAAAAATTTTTTCTTCTGCCTTCGTCTTACAGAATTGTAAAAATTCTTATATGTTTTGGATAGGGGTCCTTTGTCAATTATATGCATTTTGTTTAAATGTATCT